AGAGTCTCTCACTGACTCACAACGCTGTGATCACGTGTGGGAGTAACTGCTGTCCTTGGCTGCTCACACGGCCCAGGGAGTGTCAGTTACTTTAACGCAGCAGGAAGAATAGCTCAGAGTCTTGGAATGCTCTGGACAGAAACGTTAAATGCTTGTCTTGTACAAATTCAGCCCACATCTGTCTGGGCTCATTAAATCATTGAATTGCTCAGAAGCACCAAATTACTTCTTTCTAACAAATTACATATTTAAAGCTGCTTATTTGTTTCACATCTGGCAGTTGTGGCAAAAGCCAAAACTTGCATTCAGAGTCTGAGAAATCATCTCACCCTTTGCCTTTCTCTCCCTGGGGAAGAGAGGATAGGACCAGGTGTCCAGAGGAAGGTGGGCAGGCAGAAAGCCACAGGTGGGACGGGTGCTGGTGTTTGTGGACACACGTGGCCTCAGTGCCAGAAGTGCAGGCAGGCTGTCTGACTTCACAGACCGCTGGCTAAATCCCAGTGGCCATCTGTCCTCCTTCAACGAGGGGCCAGCAGGCAGCCTGCAGCGATGCTGGGCTGGGAGGAGAGAGGGAGGCACTTCCCTTCCTCCCCTCCTCCACATCCTTGAGAGCCAGAGTCTGGCTCGCCCACAGACTGCAATGGCACTGGCCCAAGCCTGCCGCACCTGTAGACATTCCAAGGCAGTTAGAATTGGCTGGTCCTGAAGACTGGGACCCAGGGCCTGGCTGGTCCTGCTCCCTAGGGGTAGAAATGCTGCACACCCACCAAATCAGCCTCAGGAGCTTTCCTCCCTTTCCTCCCTGACTTCTGCTTTCGCCTGCCTGAAGCAAGTTGGGTTCATGTGCCCATGGACTGTGCATTGCCTGGGGCTAGGCCTGGGTCTTCTCTGTGCATCTTCCCAGAGCCTAGCGCCAGCTCCAGCTGTCTCTAAGCCATGGCTTCTCCGTCCCAAGCTGGTGCCCCCAGACCCCGTTAGTGAGTCAGTTTGAGGAAGGGTGAAGCTTTCCTCCCTGCACGTTTGCACCCACAGCCTTGATTCTCCGATATCAGCATGTGTATTAGTCAGGGTTCTCCAGAGAGACAGAATCAATAGGATATGCTATAAATGTATGAGAGGAAGTTTGTTAGGGAGATTGGTTCACACAATTGTGAAGAAAAGTCCCACAATAGGCCTTCTATAAACTGGATGCCAGTNTCTTTTGTTTTATCATGTACCAGTTTCTCTAAGACCAGAATATACCCGGCCAGAGTCTCTGGATACTGATGCACACATGGGGAAGTCCTTTTTTGGAAGTCATTTGTGTGGCTACGGTGGACTGAGTGGGGAGGGGAAAGCAGGGCCCAGAGAACAGGCCTTCACGACTGGCCAGTAGCCCCCTTCTGCCCACCCAGCAAGTAGCACCCAGGGCAGGAGAAGGGCAGGAAGGCAGGCCTCCTGACGCAGCCCCTGGTTCAGGCTGAGAATCTCAGGGAATGAGACTTGAAGGCAGGTGCTGGGCCTCTGAAGCCACCCACCGCAGGTGCCGATTGTCAGAGAGCTTCCTCCACTCAGGAAGGGCAAGCACAGAGGGTCCCAGAGCCAGGAGGCTGTTTGGAGGGGTGGAGTGCAGTCGCAGTCTTCATAACTCCAGGACTCCGAGGGCATTGGGGTGCACAGGAGGAGCCCGATCCAGACCCGGGAAGAGGGCCTGGAGCGAGAGTGCAGGAGCCACAGCCGTGGGCCCGAGTGCAGAGGCAGCTGGGTGGGCTGTGGTCAGGCAGGCGGCTGGCAGCCTGCAGGACAGACAGCAGCCTGATGGATGCTGCCCGCTCAGCCCCCTGCTCCCTCTTCAACTGTCATCCACCGCTGCACACAGGAAGGGCAACAAGACCAGCGACCTTGTGTGCACATCCCAAGAGACAGGCGGGTGGGAGGAGCCGCGCGGGGGGCGGGGCCCGTGGGGGGAGGG